GGAAAAAGTGGGCAAAGAAAGCTGAAAATCGACACAACTGAAAAAGACGAGAAAAAAGAGTTGTAATTTCGGAACCCAGGCGAAGAACTCAAATAAAACGATACGGACATGATGATGGGGTGGTTGATATGTCTGATATGGATTCTTCTGACAATAGCGACGTTGAAGCAGGAGGTCAGTATTATGATCCTCAATTAATATCGTAATTCTTAGTATTTTACATAGTTTTTAATATTTCATTTTGTTCATTTTAGGTTTGACAGGTCGAGCAAAACGGCGTAAGGAGAAGTTAGCCCGTAAACAAAGAGAAGATGAAGATTATCTTTCAAGACATGGTTTAGGAATCGGCGAAGTCGGTGTTGCCAGTGAAACCATCGTTTACGGAAGTTGGGCAAGATCGGAATGCTTCAAAATTGAACGAGGTCTTCTCACATTCGGGTAAGTGAAATACATTTGCTCAAACAATTTTCAAGTTTATTAAAAAAATCAATCACTACTATAAGACTTATTTTAATTTTTATGTCATACTTTTCTTATACTGTTTTGAACAAGAATTTAATGCAATTTGTTGCACACTTCGTTTCCTCGTCCATGTCTTGATTTGATCTTCTAATTTGTACAATTCAGCCTTCTTTTTAACATATTCCATAACACCAGGAGCGCTATATTCCCGTGTGATTTCCTTAAGTTTCTCTAATTCCTCGCTAGCTAAAATAGCTTCGTTTTCAGCTTGAACTTCTTCCTTTTCCATATCTTCGATTAGTTTTTTTGTTGCCAAAATGCCAGCATCTAGTTCTTTTAAATTTTTCATGGCTTCTATTAAATTTTTCTTCTGTATACTCAATGTCAAACTCGCAATGCCAGTTACATGTTTTAATCCTAATAAATGGTTGTTCTTTTCTTCTATTGTAATTGCATGGTCTTTATTTTCGATTGTTAATTGCTCAAAATCTATCGGTCTCAAAGATTCGCCTAATTCTTCTTTCAAAGCAAACTGATGATACAAACGCGTGTATTGTGAACGCATAGTACCTAAAAAATTTATAAAGTATATATAAATAGCTTTACATTTTATATTATTATTATCAGTAACTTCCCCAAGGAGAAGTTTACGTTTTCATCAAAAAATCCGATTCGCTAATTTTATGTTTTTTCGACGTTTCAAGCCATTCTACATCGAATGAGACAAAATTTGGAAAAAGTATGTGTGTGTGTGTGTGTGACCACATTTTTTGCCGTAAATCTAAAAGCCATTTGATGTATCTGAATGAGGACTAACGTTTGTCAATTTTGTGCGACGATCTTCCGAGTCGTTTCTTTATAATTTGGAAAACAGTGTTAAACAGCTCGTTCACATTTAAGCTCATACTACCAAATCGATTTAAAAATACAAAAACTTTTCGAAAGATATTAGTTCGGAATAATACTGATTAGTTTTAGGTGAAAATCTACCGAGCCGTTTTCTTGTAATTAATTGTTGAACAAAAAAAATTAAGCCGATTTTTATGGAACTTTTTTTGGCGACATATATCATGGTCTTATAGAACTTACTGAAATATTATGGCCTTACGACAAGTAGTTTAATTTTAAAAATTCATCAAATTTTGAGAGAATGAGCTAAAATTAAAATTGGTCGATTCACTTGGTATAACGATAGAGTACTTGGTCTTAATGTACATACTAAATCATTAGAGTCCTACGAAAACTGGTTCAATTATAAAAATGGTTGATTTTTGAAAATTAGCTTTTAGAAAATACTTCCGAGTTAACGTGTTTGTTCGTTTTCAGATACGTGTAATAAATCCATTCGGAATACTTTTAATCGCTCATAAATTAATTTATTTTTTATTGATTAAGTCGATTATTTACACATATCGGGAAGTTCATGTAACTTGCCTCAAGGCAAAATACCAATACCAACTAGTTATTATTATTATTATATACCTGTCCTCAATCTCAATTTATCTATAGCGGATGCGACATTTTTCAACCAATCTTCCATATAATGAATAAATTTTTCTGCAGGTATTCTCTGCGTTATAGGGTCAACACCTTCAATGACGACAGTTTTTTCAAATTGTTCCCTGGCTTCTCTTGTTTCAACTGTTCTAATATCAATTTCTTCGGTTTGAGCTTTTAAAGTGGCTGCTTTCATTTCTGATTTCGCCATAAACTCCGCTTTCAATGTCTAAGTAAAAGAAACATGAAATTGTAAAAAAATCTTATTCAAAAATCTTACAATGTGTAATAAATATAGAAATTTGATAATTTTAGTAAAATATTGATCTTTCAATCATTAAATAAATATGATTTAATTTTTTGGCAATTTTAACACAATCACTTATCAATTACCTTTAATTCCTCCATTTCTTTATCAATGATTTCTGTTTTATGTGCAACATTTATTCTTGGTCCCTTCTCCAACATAGATATTGATAATGTTAAGCTTATCTTATTTATGGAGGAGGATTCTGATTTTTTCATTGATCCAGTGTTTTTAATATCTGCTGATACTTCAGATGCATCGGAGATTGATCCTTTTGATTGTTTTCCCAATAATTGGTTTTCGATACCTAAGCCTGGATCGTCTTCGAGTTCTTTTTTAATAGCTTGGCTGTCTGTAAATGTAATAACAAAATAATAAAACTAAGTAAACTTACAAAAATCTGATTTTTTCTAAGTAATATACAGTGGGTGGTACTTTGCCACTTTAACTTTGATATTTTTTTTTAAAATTAAGCTACTTGTCGTTGACATACGAGCTTAATTCCACTGTTGTAACCACTCTTGTATGTTGAATCGCTCATATCTCGAAGCACTTCACGTGGTTTTTGTTAAGTTTTTTGAATATTAAAAATAAATTTACTGTATACTAATTTAATTATTGTTTTTCCTGCCCATTCATGATATTGTGAAAATGAATAAATGAATGAAGAATTTTTTTGGGATGATTTTTGTTTATAACAGAGAGCTGTTTATAAATTATTGTAAGGCCCTATTCTAGACTTATAGTATTTATCAAATCCTTTTGCTTCTAACACAGTACATATCTATGATGGTATATCCTTGTCATAATCATATTTTTGAATAATTTCACCCTTTACCCTGAGACATGGCCCTTTTCTTTAGATCCGTGGTTATAAAACTACATAATATTTTGTAAATGTACAAAAAGCAAAAAAAAAACTCTTAATGATGCATACACAAAATTTCTAATGTTAAAATAGTCCTTGATATATTCGCGTGGGTGAATCGTTATTACTCAATTAATATATAATTAAATTCTTTAAATATAAAATAATTTACTATTATAAAACAGCCAAAATATTACTATGGTAGGAAAATCATTGGTACAACTGACCAAATTTTTCATGTTTTTATTTTGCCATTAACATGTTTCTAGAAAAAATAAGATTCTGACGATTTTCGGGGTTTGACAAAAAATCACGAAAAACCACCTGGGGGAGGGAGGGATATAAGATATCATGTGTATTTTTTTACCTGTATTTTTTTTTTAAATCCCAACATTTTCACAACAAATCATTTTTTGTAGCTTAAAATACATGTGATGTTTGTGGGGGAGGAAGGGTAATTTTGAATATCAAACGGGGGGTTCAAAAATCCTTAAAAAATCGATCACGTGACCAATAGACGCACCCTTAAATAACATATATTATTTTTTACTTTTCAATTTGACGTAATTCTATCATTTTTAGACATTTTATATAGCACTTATATTTCAAAAGAATCGCTTTTAATTCCAAACATTTAAAAAAACGAAAAAAAATACAATTTTTTCTCGTAACTAAAATGCACGTGATGTTTGTTGAGGGAGGGAGGGGGATTTAATTTTGAATATCGCCAAGGAGGAGAGGGGTCAAAAATACTTAAAAAATCGATCACGTGATCAACGCCCCCTTAAATAACATACATTTACTTTTCAATTTGACGTAATTCGAATATTTCTAGACATTTGACCTTTATGCTCTGATATTTTATATAGTCCTTATATCTCTTTTAAATCCAAACATTTTCAAAAAAAATGAAAAACAAAATAATTTTTTCTCGTAACTAAAAATCCACGTGATGTTTGGTGGGGGTGTAATTTTGAATATTACCACATATCACCATTATTTTTTACTTTTCAGTTTGATTCGTTACGAGAATTTGTAATTCCAACATTTCTAGACATTTTACTTAATGATTTCATATTTTATATAGCAATTATATTTCAAGAGAACGCTTTATTATTTAAGCTTTTTTTTTTTTTTTTTTCTATTATTCACCTAAATAAGATTGTAGTCCATCGAGCGCACTAGGATCTACACGTTTTAGAAACTTTTCAAAACATTCGTTTTCCATAGCCAGCAGCCAATTATCCTGGCGTAATTGTTCAACAGTTTGTATCAGTTCGACATCTGATAATTCTTCCAGTGAATCTGGTACACTGGCCTCCGATTTATTACTGACTGCTTCGCTTTCATTATGTTGTCCTGCATGAATAGGTCCTTCCATCATTTTTGTAATTTTGATTTTACCGAAAATATTATACAAACAAATTATTCATGACATGTTTTGATAATAACAAGTATGGATGATATGGATATTTTTTTGAAATTTAACCGGAGAATTATTGTTTATCAGGTGGGGTCGTTGGCAAGAAATTTTACAACATAGTCAATTTAGACGTGGATGGCATGAATCAGATGTTGAAGATTGCGCACGAGTAATAGTAAGTATTTTTGTTACTTAATTTAATAACATTTTTAATGATGACCTACCATGCTAATACCGAGAAAACATCTGGTTTTCGCTGAGTTTCCAACATAACTGATTTTGTATTTTTGTATAACAGATTGAGTTAAAATGTAATGATTCCCTAAACACGTTGTTTTTAATTCCAGATTTTGTATTGCTTGAGATTCTATAAAGGCGACGAAAAAATAAAGAATTTCATTTGGGATCTTGTAACACCTACTGAATCTGGTGAAGTTCAAAAAATTACCAGAAATCATAGCGGTTTGCATAATCCTGTACCCAGGGGTCGTAATGCTAAAGGCAAAAAGGGCGGTAAAGGTCCCCGAGAATCCCCAAAGGATCCAACTAAAAGCATGACTGCACAAATCAGCATGGATCCAAATCATTGGAGCAAAAATGAAAAATACGATGGTGATATCTATTTAGAAAACAATTACAAAAAGCATTTGCATCGACATGCTAATAGGTAATAGAAAATAATTATTTCTTGAGTATAATAATCTAAAAAACTTGTTTTTTATGTTGATGTTATTTTTTTTAGGGTGTTGCTGAGAGTGCGTATGCTTTATTATATAAAACATGAAATAATTGGTGATTTAGTGCAACACATTAATGAAGGTGTACATATAAGGTAATTTTTTTATTTTTTTATTTTTCATTATTTTTTTAAACAATATGATCGTTTTTTGCAAATTTTGTACGGAACATCATATTGCTTTATCAAATATTAATAAATAATGCTTGTAAGCTTGGCTTATCATATAACATCTTTTCATCAGAGTTGAGACTATCATTTCTATGAAAAAATGTCAGTTAATATAAGAAATTTTTAAATGAATTGGTGTCAATACTCTGATTTCTTGATTTCCAGTGAATTGTTGAAAATGATTATACAAATTGTTGATTGTCCTTTCAACATTTACCTGGTTCATTGAACAATGACAATTCATTATTGCTCATTTGATTAGGGATAATATATTTTTGTATTTTAGTGGCTTAATTAACATATTTGCCAATTCAGCTACCAACATCATGAATTGATTTTATTATTAACTATTTTATTCTGCCATATTTTAATCAGTATTTGGAACTTAGTGGTTAACAATTTTAGTTTAATAAAAAAATAATTAGTCCTGTATCAACTAATCTTACTACATGTGTGCATGAAATTACCGCCCAAAATTCACCATAAGAAAGAAAAGTACTTGCGGAATTACAGTAAATCATCATAATTAGATAAGGATACATACTAGGGAATGCAATACCGATGGAAAACTTCAATACCGGTATTTCGGTAATTTTTCATTTTAAAACCGGAATACCGGTAAATTACCGGTATTTTTATTATCTTAAACAAACGTAAACAAAATTGAAAGTTACTAGTACAAATATAAAAAAATGTATATACAACTACAACTATTTTCAACTAAACAATAAAATAGAACAATAAGTTCATTTTTTAACTTCCCGAAGGAGAAGTTTATGTTTTCATCAAAAACCCGATTCGCTAATTTTATGTTTTCTCGACGTTTCAAGCCATTCTGAATCGAATGAGACCAAATTTGGAAAAAGTATGTGTGTGTGTGGTGTGTGTGTGTGTGTGTGTGTGTGTGGTGTGTGTGTGTGTGTATGTGAACAGATTTTTTGCCGTAAATCGACGTTTTCTCGAAAACGGCTGGACCGATTTCAAAAATTTAAAAGCCATTCGATGTATCTCGACGAGAACTATTGTTTGTCAGTTTTGTGCGACGATCGGCCAAGCCGTTTCTTTATAAATGGCAGAAAAGTGAAAAATTTTTCGTCTACGTTTTAGCCCGCAATTCTGAATCGATTTTGAAAATTCAAAAACCGTTCGAAAGATATTGGTTGGGAATCGTGCTGATTAGTTTTTGGTAGAGATCGGCCGGGCCGTTTTCTTGTAATAAAGTTTTTAAAAAAAAAATTTCGACGATTTTTATGATTATTTTTTTGACGATAGATACCATAGTCTTCTAGATCATACTAAAATATTACGGCCCTACGACAACTGGTTCAGCTTTAAAAATTCGTCAAAGTTTGCAAAAATCAGTATGGTCTTTTTGGCATTTGTCAAAATTAGACTTTTGATCGACGTTTTCTCAAAAACGCCTGAACCGATTTTAGAAATTTAAAAGCCATTTGATGTATTTCGGTGAGGACTATCGTTTGTCAGTTTTGTGCAACGATCTGCCAAGCCGTTTCTTTGTAATTTGAAAAAAACTTTTCGTCCACATTTAAGCTCATCCTACCGAACGATTTTAAAAAATCAAAAACTGTTCGAAAGATATTAGTTGGGAATGATACTGATTAATTTTAGGTGAAAATCTACCGAGCCGTTTTCTTGTAATTGACTGTTGAAAAAAGTGTTAAATTTTCGTCGACAATTAAGCTCATCCTACCGAACCGATTTTAAAAAATCAAAAACTGTTCGAAAGATATTAGTTGGGAATGATACTGATTAATTTTAGGTGAAAATCTACCGAGCCGTTTTCTTGTAATTAACTGTTGAAAAAAAGTGTTAAATTTTCGTCGACAATTAAGCTCATCCTACCGAACCGATTTTGAAAAATCAAAAACTGTTCGAAAGATATTAGTTGGGAATGATACTGATTAATTTTAGGTGAAAATCTACCGAGCCGTTTTCTTGTAATTAACTGTTGAAAAAAAGTGTTAAATTTTCGTCGACTATTAAGCTCATCCTACCGAACCGATTTTGAAAAATCAAAAACTGTTCGAAAGATATTAGTTGGGAATGATACTGATTAATTTAAGGTGAAAATCTACCGAGCCGTTTTCTTGTAATTAACTGTTGAAAAAAAGTGTTAAATTTTCGTCGACATTTAAGCTCATCCTACCGAACCGATTTTGAAAAATCAAAAACTGTTCGAAAGATATTAGTTGGGAATGATACTGATTAATTTTAGGTGAAAATCTACCGAGCCGTTTTCTCGTAATTAACTGTTGAAAAAAAGTGTTAAATTTTCGTCGACATTTAAGCTCATCCTACCGAACCGATTTTAAAAATCAAAAACTGTTAGAAAGATATTACTTGGGAATGATACTGATTAATTTTAGGTGAAAATCTACCGAGCCGTTTTCTTGTAATTAACTGTTGAAAAAAAAAATTTAAGCCGATTTTCATGGAAATTTTTTTGGCGATATACATCATGGTCTTATAGAACTTACTGTAATATTACGGCCTAACGACAAGTAGTTTAATTTTAAAAATTCCAAAAAAAGTCAAAGTTTGCTAAAATTATTATCGTTTTTTTTTAAAGTAGGATTAATGAAGTATATTAATTACACTTTTTTTTTGATTAAGTCGATTATTTACACATTTCGGGAAGTTCATGTAACTTGCCTCAAGGCTAAATACCAAACCAACTAGTTAAAATAATAATTTAACAAAAGTATATGCAATTTAATTAATTCATTATCACAGAGTGCTTTTTACCAAAAACAAACTTATGAGTAAGAAAGACCAAAAACTCATAAAAGATTAAATTACATTATTATAATAAACTGTATTGTCTGTATTCGATGTGTTAAATTAACATAATCTCCAATATTAAAAAAAAAATTCTACACTAATTTAAGATCGGATTCTTTGTCGAGATAAATAATAAGTTACTGTAATTGTTGAGTATTGTTATTTAAAACAATGTGATGCTTCTATAGTATTTTCAAACCTCGAAAAGTTTTCGAAAAATAATATTTTATAATTGTAATAAAAAGCAAAAATATTTAGTAATTATCATAATTATTATGTATAAAGTTAGAAAAAAAATAAAGATTACGCAGGGGTAATCTGTATGATATAAAATATTTTGGCGCAAATATCACTTGAAAAACCGTTACATTTTTACAAAAGATGAAGCAAACATCATTATCTATCAGTCCAATTCTATTTATTATTGTAACACGATATGAAGCCCTTTGAAAAGCAACAAATGTTCAGTTTAATGACGAGTTGAGATGATATTTGACATTTATCTTATAGAATCACTTGAAGATATAGCTGTTTATGCGATTATGGAATTTAAAGATAAATTTGTTTCGAGGAATTTAAACTTCAGGGTATTATGAATCAAATTGCGCTGATGTAAAAATACCGAAAATACCGGTATTTTTGGAATAAATACCGTCGAAAAATCGGGCGGATTACCGGTAATTCGGTATACCGGTATACCGGTATTGCATTCTCTAATACATACTACTTTTTGATATATAATGACTGCATGATTCATGCTCTTATTTCGACACCGAAATATCATACAAGCAGCACCTGCAATATTTATTTTTATCAGTGTAATGCTATATAATCATGAATTCTACTACATTTCATGCTGCATTTTTTTCTTTGTGCCTGGCAGACTTGTTTGCAATATATTCATTCGTTTGCTGTCTTGTCTTGATGTACTTTTTTCATGAAACTTTTTAGCATTTTATCAAATCATATGGATCATTCCACAGCAACTGTAAAAAATCAAAAGTACTGATTGAAATTGAAATTGAAATGTTTATATTAAGGAATGAATTTCTTGATATTATTATGCGAAGAATGAATCGAAACATGATAAATGGATGACGAATCGGGTTTTACAGCTGACTTGATGATAATAGAACTATTGGCTTTAATAAAGATTGAATTAAATTTCTTGCAATGCTTTTGTAAATGAGCAGCAGCTTACACTTGACAAAAATATACACGATTTTATTTTGTTACTATTGATGAAAAAAGTACATTAAACAGAACCAGAAACAATCTCCTGGACATTTTCTGGAAAAATATATACGACTCCGTCAAAATCACTTTAACGGTGTAACCACTAATTTCCTAAAATAGCTTGTGTCGTTTAATTATTGACTCATGTACAAAAGCAAAATTTGGCAAATAAACATTAAAAAGTGAAATATTTACCATAGAAATATGAATTCTTTTTTCTTGTCAAAATTTGGTAACAAAAGAATATTTTTACGCAAACAATAAATGCGATCAGCTCAATCCCGATACGTCTGCCTGCTTGTGATTTGCCACCGCGGTCTTGGTGGGACGCCGAGTGCGATAAGTCGCTGATGGCCGGAACCCTAAAGCATGGTTTCGAGTGTTATAACCTTATGCGCGCCGATCCGACGTTGTGCTTCCTGAAGCACTGCGGTGCCCCGGCACGAACCAAACGACAAACCAACAACAAAGACGACGAAAATCCAGAAATTATGTAAGTACTTTGAAAACACAACACAACACAGGTGCTAAGGTCATAAGGGGATACATTTTGGCGTTTTGCCATCTTTTCCTCTTGATTCAATAATAAATTATTTTGATAGTCATATTGTATAAAAGTCGCATATTTTTATGAATATTAACACACTATGAGCGGGTAGAATAGAAGACGAATTGGTATGTGTAGCTGGCAAAAAAATCGGGAATGAAATCGCGGCGCTCCAGCTTCGGATACAATTCTCGTTAAACATAAACATCTTCAAATTTACCATAAATCTTTAATTGAAATAAAAATCAAAGAAATTAATGTTATATAAAAAGTTTATTTAAAGTAGGTATATGTACATAAAATTAATTAGAAAGTTATAACACAGTCAAAATATAAAAGTGTCTCTTTCACTCCTCTATCAATTACTCATTTTGCCTAAAATTTTGATATTCAAGTGTAAATAAGTTTTTACTAGATTTTAGTAAATTTTATCTTATCTTTTACTAATGTATAGTAGACCAGTCATTTAAGCTTAAATTAGGTAAGAATCTCGGAATTCGCTGTAAGTCAGTAAATACTTATATATTGACATTTAAAAGTTATCTCAAAACCTACATATGGTATTGACACTCTACCATATGTAGGTTTTGAGACAACTTTAGGGTGTCAATATACAAGTATTTACAGACTTACAGCTGGATAATTCGAATTCCGAGGTGAACTTATATATAATGACTGGTCTATAATGTAAATAAGTTAGGAAGTGTCTATTTTAATCACGTGACCGATTTTTAAAGATTTTTGGACCCTCGAAGATTTGTGGTAATATTTAAAGTTCTCAGTTTTTGCGAGGTTTTAATAAATTTTATCATTTTCTTATTTTGCCTAAAATTTTGATATTCAAGTGTAAATACGTTTTTACAAGATTTTAGTAAATTTTATCTATCTTTTACTAATGTACAATGTAAATAAGTGAGAGGGCGTTCATTATCACATGATAGATTTTTAAAGATTTTTGGAGGCATTCGTAGTAGTAATATTTAAAATTTTCAGTTTTTGCGAAATTTTAGTAAATTTTATCTTTTTCTTATTAATGTAAACAAATTATAATGTCTGAAATGAAAATTAAAAGTTATTTGAAGAAAAGTGAAAAAAAAAGTTCTCAATTCATAAATTGCATATTATGGACTAATGTCCGCATTTCAACTACGAATTATTCAACATTTTAATGACCCACAGTTTTTACGAGATTTTAGTAAATATTATCTAGTTTTTACTAGATGACTAATGAATACAAATTATAATGTTCGAAAATAAAATTTGAAGTAATTTCGAGAACAGTAAAAAATGCTTTAAATCCATATATTACAAGTTGGGGAATTACTAAAGATCTCATTTTAACTACTAATTATTCGAAATTTTAATACCCAAGTATTAAAATAAATAACAGTTTTTACGAGATTTTAGTAAATTTTATCTAGCTTTTATTAATATATAATGTAAATAAGTTAGTGGAGTGTCCATTTTAATCACGTGACCGATTTTTAAAAATTTGTGGACCCTTGAAGATTTGTGGTAATATTTAAAGTTCTCAGTTTTTGCGAGGTTTTAATAAATTTTATCATTTTCTTATTTTGCCTAAAATTTTGATATTCAAGCGTAAATACGTTTTTATAAGATTTTAGTAAATTCTATCTAGCTATAACTGAAAAATAAGTTGGGAGTGGGAATTTAATCACGTGACCAATTTTTAAGATTTTTGAACACTTTGGTGATACGTAGTAATATTTAAAATTCTCAGTTTTTGCGAGATTTTAGTAATTTTTTTTTATTAATGTATAAAGTAAGTTAGGGGGCGTTTATTAATCACGTGATCGATTTTTAAAGATTTTTGGACACTTCGGTGATACGTGGTAGTAATATTTAAAATTCTCAGTTATTACTAGATATTAGTAAATTTTACTAATTCATAATGTAAATAAGTTAGAGGACGTTCATTATCACGTGATCGATTTTTAAAGATTTTTGGACCCTTTTTCTTATTAATGTAAACAAATTATAAAAGTTATTTGAAAATAAACATAAAAAATGTTCTAAGTTCATATATTGCAACTGATCAAAATACTAAAATCCGCATTACAACTACGAATTATTCAAAATTTCAATATCCATGTGTATAAAATAGTTTTTATGTAAATTTTAGTCTTCTAGTAAATTTTATCTAGTTTTTACTGATGTAAACAAATTACAAAGTCTGAAATAAGTTCTACATCTATATAAATGTTACAAATTATCAAAAATACTAAAGTAAGCATTTTAACTACAAATTATTCAAAATTGCAATATGCAAGTGTATATAACAGTTTTTACGAGATTTTAGTAAATTTTATCTAGTTTTTACAAATATCAACAAATTATAATGTGCGAAATGAAAATTAAAAATTTTTTTACAAGAAGAGTAGAAAATTTTCTAAATCGATGATATATTGCGAATAATGGAAATTCTAAAGTCAGCATTTTACTTACTTAATTTGGTACCAATTGTCTATAACGGTTTGCTTTACTAGATTTTAGTAAATATTATCTAGTTTTTATGAATGTAAGCAAATTACAAGTTTTATTCAAAATTATTTTATACATCGGTTCTATTAGACTTTTGTTTTCCTAAATAAAATCCTAAATACTAAATTCACATATTGCTAATTATCAAAATTCTAAAATTAATAACGAAAAACGAAAATCAATTGAATCTAAACAAGAATAAACCGATTCCAAAGTTAGTAATATTCCGGGACGAGTATTTTTAACTTTCCCGCTTATAGTGTGTTAAAATGCAAGTATATATAATTATTATTTTATAACAATTAAGATTTCATGGCCAAAATGTTCCAATCCTTAGCAACCACACCTGAACATAAAACTCCAAAAGTAAGTTCTTTCTTAACCAACGGTTTTGAAACAGCTGCATTTTTATAATTTAGAATAAATTTAAAAACTTTTTTCGCCTTTTACCGAAGATTATTTTGAATTTCATGCAGTTTGTATTTAAGTTTTAACATATTGATGCTGAAGTTAAGAACATTTAACATGCTTTACATGTTTTAATATAAGAGGTAAGTGATACTCATAGATGCAGGCACGATTGCTATAGCTTATTAAAATTTTAGTTGCTATGGTACTTTATTTATGTGATACTAATATATAATGTGCATGAATATGTTAAATACCAAGCTTTTCTATCATTTAACGTTATTATTAGTAATAACTAGTTAATAATGTATTACTATAGAAAACAAATTTATACTGTTTAATTTGGAGATTAAAGCGAAATTTGAGAATAAAACTGAAACTTTGTAAATTTTTGATAATTTACTTCAGCATAGCAATGACGATTTTTTTTATAGCAATGAAGATGAGTCTAACTCAAAGCTTGATGATCAAGACGATATGTGCAACGATGATGACCAATCAAAAATGGATACTTCACCATCGGGTATTGGTGAAAATTCTGAATCTAAAGATGGTGATCAAAATGATGATATTGATCAGCAGAGTTCTACAGGTAGGTTTTGTAGGTACATAACAATTTCAACAAGTATTCATTTGTTTTGCATAAAATATTTTTATCTTATAGGTACATATCAGTTTGGAGATGATGATACCTCAGTGGGCAATGCGGATGACCAATGGCCTACTATGCAAGATCTAAATACGCGCTTAAGAAGAGTTATTACTTCTTACCAAAGAAATTACAAGAGGGAAGAATTAAAAATGCAACAGAAGGCTAAGGTATTTATTTTTATACAACTTAAGTTCTATAAAAACAGCATGTTTTGCTTATCAATATTAATGGAATGAAAATTTTATTTCATTGTGATATGTTACATTTATATTTACATTTACATATTATTTTCATAAATTTTATACTCTTTTTTTATTAAAGTAGATCATTAAAAATCATTAAAAATAAAACATTCTGCAGGTTCTATTATGTAAACTTATATGTTTGTGTAATGTTTTTTTATATTTTAAAATATGTTTTCTGTTTATTTATAATGATAGTAAAATTGGTTTTTAAATATTCTGGCATAATAGTCGAGACAATAAAGGTTTTTCGCAGTTAGTCGTCAGAAACAGCTCCGATTTTGTTCATTTGTTGTATTGAGAATAGTTCTTATAAGTATAGTTGTTATTAATTATTCAATATTTACATAGAAAAAAATTCTTATTAGGTCAAAAATTACATATGCGCTATGTTTTTTCCTTTTAAATAAATGGTTTTCCCGTCATTTCCAATGAAATTAAAATTAAAACTTTTAGAATTGTTTAGAAAACTTTATTAAACTTTATGAAAACTTTAATATAAATTGTTTAGAAACGTTTTAGAAAAAATATTTTCGAATTTTTACAAATATCAATACATGTATAAAAGAATGATAAAAAAATTATTAGAAAATACCTACATTTTTAATTATTGCATTTTTATATGTATCTTTCATAATTTTCGAGATATTGTGAAAAGAATGTGGTTTTTGTAAAAATTTGTAAACATTTGGTATTCTTAAAATTGTGATTTTTTGACATAACATAAAACAGAAAAATATACCAAAATCGGCCCCGTCTTGAACGTGTTAAACAAAAAATTTGTTTCTCTTCTGAAGTGTTTCTGATTTTAAATAACATTGAAAAGCAAAAATTTAAGAAAATGGAATCGGTGGTGTTTCTGAAGACTTTCTGCAAAAAACTTTATTTGATTGGTTGCAATGTTGGTGTCGCTTACGACCACAACGTTATTTCACAGTGGCATTTTTAATTGATAATTTATCACAATTGGCGTGAGCGACACCGGCACAAAACTTTATATAGTTCAGTCATTAGAGTAAGTTTACCTGGGAATTCGAGATACCCAGATGTAAGTCTGTAAATACTTGTATATTGACACTCTAAAACTGTCTCAAAATCTACACATGTTGCGTACACCCTACACCTATGGTACTACCTACCATATTTATTTATTCATTTAAATATATAGCCCACAGATTTCTCCAAGAGGACTCAAAAATACAATTATTTTACATAATGAATAGCAATTAAAATATATACAAAATTACAATATATAGTTATTAACATAAAATGCTTAACATAAAATTACATATGATGCAGAATGTAACAATATTATTTATAAACAGAATAAGATAAAATAATGAGATATTTGAAAAGAAAATATAAAGGTTAACTTGTGCATATGGAGATTATTTGATTAGGTGAAGTGTTGTGAATATCTATTTCATTATTAATTAAGTTAAAGTTAGAGGACATAAGTAAAATAGGCGAATTTAAGAGAGAATTAGATTTAGGGGTAGGATAATTGAAAAATAATTGTGAACGCGTAGATAAGCCTTGGATAGTTGAATAAGAATAAGAGGACAGTCTAGAGGATAGTCATTTGTTGAGACAACTTTTAGGGTAGTACAAGTATTTACAGACTTACAGCTGGGTATCTCGGACTCCTAGATCTTTACCTAATTTAAGCTTAAATGACTGGACTGTGAATATTCAAATTGTTTATTTATGTTTATGTTTACGTTTGTTTTTTTCGTTAATTCCTCAGTCTTCCAAACTGGCTCCTTCCACATCTGCCGGCCTAGTACCGTGCAGTGCCCCCGGCACCCCCCCACCGGTCGTCGCCCCCAACATGGTCGCCACCCTTGCTAATATGGCGGCCATGCTGCCAGGCGATGCCTCGAATATGGATCTGCAGAAATTAGCTATGTACTTGTTGGTCAGTAACGCGCTTTATATTCATTTTATTATTGCTGTTATTATTTATTGTTTGCTTGTTGAAACCTTTTGTTCAAATGCATGTTGTGTGTGAAAATTATATGTCGATCCTTCAGCGTCTTAATGTTAAGGTGACCAAATTTCTTTAAGGGGATATTCTACTGTAGTGGCATGAATTTCGCCCGGTTTTTGAAGCGCTGTATAAAGGAAACAAATAATATTTTTACTATCAATTTTTTTACCATTTGTTTATTGATATTTTATTATTACATAAAAAAAAAATTAAAAAAAATTAGAATTCACAAAGTATTGAGCAGTCAAAGTGAGGGCTCAAAAAAAAGAGGGTGTCCTGGCGTGCATGATTCCAACCCTCCTAGTGATCCGAAACATAAAAAATAGATGGATTCTTAATTATTATAGATGCCGCTATCGTATGACCCTTGGATAAGTTAAAAAAAATAGTTTGAATGGCGGCAGTTTGAAAAAAAAAATTTTTCATGTTTTTTTTAACGATTCCGAATTTTTAAAAATACTAAATGAAAAGTTATAGTTTTGAGCAAGGTCCACGCGATAAAGCGATGTATAGAGAAGATCCTCTCCAAATTTGAAGTAAATCGGTTCATTAGAACTCGAGATATCCTTATCGCCAGCTCGAAAAAAGTAGTTCCGAGAAAAACGCGTTCAAAGTTTTGAGACAAGTCGGATCCGAACCGAGGCCACATCACTAAAACGACTATAACTCAGGAAATAATAGTAATTTTTGAAAAATCCTTTTAATGACATATTTTTGAATAACTAAACTTTGAAAATATGAAAAAAAAATCGATTTTTTCAAAATTCTCCAGTAGAATACCTCCTTTAGTCAATACCAGAACGGCATTTTTAGTTATGCTGATACGGGACGAGGGGACAGAGGTGGTGCTCTGGATATAATAAAAATCAGTTTTTTTTTTAAATGAATCATTTTTTCAAGTAGTAATTATTTTTTTCCCTATTTTCGATCTGTGTTTTTTTGCTTTTGAGCTTTGTATAAACTTCTGTTCAATTTTCTTCATAATGGACTTGAAAAAATTAGCACTTGTTTGTTTGGTTTCATAATTCTTTATTTGCGTGCAATTGAAAGTAAAAGTTTGAATTTTTATTTATTTTTATTAATGGCTATTTTAACCCGCCTTTGAAATTTTGAATTCGGCATTTTCCTCATTCATAACGTATTGTTTCATATAAGCATCCTTGTTGTTTGTAACATATTATTGCATCAAACTTTGTATCTCCCTCTGTTTTAATTAATGTTGTGTTTTTGTTATGACTTGCTTTATCTAATTCGTTTTGTACAATACTGGTGTAAATTATATTAAATTATATAATTTTGAGTCAGTTACATGTTATATGTCCAATTTATATGTTATAAGTAACTGTACCGGATTTTTTTCATGGATATTTAAGGGGCACAACTAGTGTAACCGCCTAAAAAAAGGTGATTTTTGGGAATTTATATTTAAAAAAAAAAAACTTTATCAATTATCTCAAAATTTTACGAATATATTTGCACATTTTAAGAATACATTGTAAGCGGATCATTTGTTTTTGAGTAATCGCTGCAGCAAATTGGGAAAATGCTATTTCGTCGAAAACGCGTTTAAAGATAAAATGATCGTTATACAATATACTATATATATACTCTTTAAATGCCTGTAACTCAAAAACTATTTAAGATATCGATTTAAAATTTTGATTCGTTATTTCTAAAGGTATAACGCATCGAAACATGGAAAAATTGAAAATTCGATTTTTTGAAAATTTCACACTAGTTGTGCCTCTTAATTTATTTTCAAAGGGTATCTTCAAAGTAAACTGTAGAACTATTGCACATATTTCGTGTCCAAAAATATATGTCGTTTTTTTTTCAATGCTATAGAAAATAGAACGAAGAGAAAAGGTTGAACAAATGATGAGAGAACGAGAACAACGTCATCACAGATCCGTTGATATAATACCATCACCAACACCGTCTGCACACACTCCTGCACCCAAGAAATGGTCCAAGCGCGAAGAACAAGATTTCTTCAAAACTGTTTGCAATTATGGTGTCGAATATGATCCAAAAACAGACAGTTACAACTGGACAAAATTCCGCGCTTTGAGTAAACTTGATCAAAAGTCTGATGAAGCATTCACAGAATATTACAAAGGATTTTTGGCTATGTGTAAAAACGTTGTTGGTTTGGGAGATAATACGGAATTGTTGGTGGAAGCAATTAGTGAAGAGAAAGCTCGGCGTACTTTGGAAAGGTTTGATATTTTTTATGATGTATAGTATAGTAGGTTTTGTGTAGTTTTGACATGAAATGTTTTATTTTAGAATTGATTTACTGAATAAAATTCGGGAGGAAATTGTACATCTACCTGACTTAAAAGAAAAGTTGTCGATATGCCTAAATAATCGCGACACACCAGATTGGTGGATACCAGGTGTGCATGATGAGCAATTAATTATTGGAGTTACAAGGTAAGGATTAATAACTGTTATGATTTTTTAACTTCCCGTAGGGTAAGTTATTGTAATGGGCCGAAAATCGGAATTGAAAATTTTTACATTTCTCGACGTTTTGAAGGTTTCTGAACGTTTTGGCATACTTTAGAAAAAATGGATGTGTGTGTGTGTGTGTGTGTGTGTGTATGTATGTATGGATACAAATTTCCAGTCACGTTTTCGGGCGCACGAATCAACCGATTTGAATGGTTCAAAAACCATTCGATTCCTATTGATAGGGAAAAGAGCTGATTAGTTTTTGGCGAAGGCAGGTCCAGCCGTTTCGGAGATACGGAGCAACGACTGCAGAAAATAGATATCGACTTTTTGAGAGAACGGAGTATCCGACTTGAATGATCTAAAAAACATTCAATTAGTAATGATTGGGAGAAGTGTTTATTAGTTTTTGGCAAAGGCAGGCCCAGCCATTTCGAAGATACGGAGCTAAATATGTGAAAAATAGCAGTTTTTGAGAAAACTAAGCGTCCGATTTAAATGATTCAAAGAACTTTCTGCTTGTCTTAACAAAATAATTGATTTTGGAAAAAAAAATTTCGTATAATTTTTTTTTTTTTTTAGTTTTTTTGTATATCGAAAATAATTCAGATTTTATTTTGATTCTGACTAGAGTTCTAATACAACTTAAACAAATAATTTTAACTTTGCAATTCACTTTATATAATTCTTATAAATATTAGACAATGTTACAATATTAATAATTATCTATTTGAAAACATTCAGTATTCCTCGAACTTTTCGTTACGGTACGGAAAGTTCCAGCAATTTGCCTTAAGGCACGATGCCATACACCCCACTAGTTTTTTTCAAATTTTAAGTATATATGTAAATTTTAAGTATGTATATTTTATCTCAGGCATGGTCTTGGAAATACTGAACAGACAATATTTAATGATCCTGATCTAAAATTCAACATAAAAACAGTTGAAAAGACAGAAGATAAAAATGTAGAGTCTAAAGATGCTGTCAAATTGGAAAGTCATGAAGATTTGCTAAAATTAGATAAGGATGAGATTTTAGTTCAACTTGAAAAAGGCGAAGGGACATTGAAAATAGAGAAGGTTGCTGTGAAGAAAGATGATAAAGATGCCGTTGAAAAAGACAGTGAAGTAGTTGATGAGAAGAGCGAAAATGTGGAAGAGACTACTGGTGACAAAAAAGAGTCTGAAGTTAAAGAACCTGAAGATAACAAAGAAAACACAGCTACAACTGAAGAGCTTAAGAAGGATGATGAAGTGAAATCTGAAGCAGATGTGCAAGAAACACAATCAGAGACGACGACTACTATTGAAAATGATGACGAGAAACAAAAAACAGCTGATAAAACTGATGTAACAGAAGAAGATAAACCAGATAAAGTTGATAAACCTGAAGAAAAGACTGAAGTGGATGCTGCTAATGAAGAAGCATGCACTAAACAAGCTGCTGAATTGAAAGCTATGTTCCCTGATTTGGAAGTTATTCAACCATCATTCTCAAACAAAGTGAAACTGAAATGAAACAACAGAAATGGTTTCGGGAATACGCATTGCAAGTCCGCCTGCAGCATGTGGTGCATTGCATAGAACACAACGAATGGCCAGTAAACAACATGTTCACTGCATATCTTAACGGACTGGGAGCTGAAATGGATGCACCCATTCATGAAAGTTGCTTATCTCTTCCCAAGCGTGATACAAGCACACCTTTGTCAGTATCTGAGGGTTCTGAAATAATAACCATCACTACAGACCATGGACTATCTAGGCAAAATCAGGGTAAGAAGCGGAAGAGACATATTGCTATAGATGTTGAAACAGAAAGAGCTAAATTGCATGCATTGTTGAACAACAGCCAATCTGGATCAGGTAATAATAATATCAATTAAACAAACTTTAATTTGTTTGCTTATTAAAACAATATTAATATTATTAATTGTGTAGGTTCAAATCTATTGAAATCAAACTCATCATTGACCGTGACAAGTGTATCTTCAAATCCAGGAAGTGTGTCATCTGCACTTTCACCCGCACTCACGGTTGGCACTATTTGGGATGATGATCCAACTCCTCCACCTGCCCATCAAGGCGGCGGTAGTAGAACAACGACAAACTATCCGAAACAATCTCCATTAAATATGATTAGCAATACTAGTAGTAGTCCATTTGCTCCAATTGATTTATCTTCAGGGTAAATATTATTACAATGAGACTACAATGTAAACTAATATTTATTGTGAGTTTGACTTAAAATTATAATTTTACAGGCTTACTAAACCAACTACTTCTGACAAGACCAATACTAGTTCATTCGATATGAGCGAAGTTCAAGATTTTTCTATGTCGAAACCAAAAAGTTCTGGAAATACACCGGGTAGTCCATCTACAACCAATACTCCTGCATTTAGCAGTGGAAAGGGAAAATTAGATAATATGCTTACAAAATTAATGAAGAAAAACAATTGTGTAAGTATATATGTTATGAACTTATATTCACCATATTTTGAATTTGTTGTTATTTATGACTTCATATATTTACTTATAGTCCATTGAAGAACCTGTAGTTGGAAAAGAAAAGAAACGACGTAAGCTGGATGAAATTGTTCTTGGGTTATCTGCAGCAAAGGAGCACAATAAACCACCATTATCATCATATCCTCCAATAGAAGCAACAGTTAAGAAACCACAAGTAACACCAAGTGTTTCCGTGTTGCCTGCTCTTGCAGTATCCAGTTCTAGTAATTCTAGCTCAAACCAAAAACCATTCACAATAACAGTTACAAGCATTCCTTCTACCTCAAAAGCAGGTTCAAGTTCTCAATCTAGCAGTTCCCAACTTCCATCAAAAACGGATTCATTTGCTGCGTTTTTGCAGCAGGCTGAACAACAAAATTTATTGTTGAAGCAGCAGCAGAAACTTTTGCAAAACTTGCCATCGACATCTGCCCAAAGGAAAAGCTATGAAGCAATTCTTGCAAGTATAAATAAAGCAGCAGATTATAGTCCAAAATTGCCTGGATCTTACTCACATGAAGCAAAAGTCAATAAATGGTTGGCAGAGCAGAATGCTGTTATACCAGAGCAGCCATTAGGAGCAGATTACTTATCCCGAAGAAGAAGACCGAGGATGGATCCTACAATTTTGGATTGGAAGAAATTAACTGGAGAGGAAAATGTCTCTGTGATTCATCGCACTACAGGCAAAAAAATTACTGGGAGCAAAGCACCTCAATTGAAAAGACTAAGTCAATGGCTTATAGAGAATCCAATGTATGATGTGGATCCAAAATGGTCGGAACTTGTAAAAGAAAGTAAACCTTCTTTAGATCCTAAATTGCAGCGACCACTGAGCAGTGGCAGTCTAAGTTCTAACCCAGAGAGGAAGAAGAGTAGAAATATGCTTGAGTCTCCAAGTGTTTCTCCATCTGTGAGCAGTGCAAATTTAGCTACTTCTTTAGCTTCCAGTATGCAGTTTCCTTCTTTAGGTGCTAGCAGTTTATCCGGGTTGAATAGTAGCTTGCTCTCTGGTATGTCAGGAATGGGTGCTTTTGATCCAAAGAATCCATTATTAATGCCATTTGGTGGCATGCCAAATATGAATGCTTTGGCGGGAATGAGTGGGCTTGGGAACTTAAGTAATATGAATCTCTTTGCCAATCTTGCCAGCTTGGGTCTACCAGGCTTGCCAGGGATGGATGGCTCCGCAATGAGTGCTGATGGTAACTTGTCATCTCCAGGTGGAACATCAGGAAGCAATAAAGCTAAAAGGAAGAGTTCGGATTCGCATACTTCAGGCAAAACTCCCACATCATCATCTAGTTCAAGTTCAATACCTACGACATCACCTTTCCCATTTTTCTTCCCTAATCCTAGCCTTTTGTACACACCTCTTGGATTGGGTTCTGCTCTCAATCCATTTTCACTCCAACCTGGTATGTCTGCATACGATACTTTAGCTCAGCAATGCAGTCTTTTGAATGGAGGGCTAGGTGTGAGTTCATCTTCTACCACAACAACATCTCCATCAACAAGCTCTCGGCCTTCAAGTAAAACCAGCTCCAGGGTTTCCATGACACAATCTTCACCAAGTAGTAGGCATAACCGAGATAAATTACAGCAACAAGCTGCTGCACAATTGCATCAGCAGCAACTGCAGCAGCTTTTGTTACCACATGATACACATTTATTGGAGACTCTCAGCAGAGCCACCAGCTTGGAAGCAGCACAGGCGGCTCTGAGAAATGCCACTGAGAAACATCAGAGATCTGAGAGTAGAAATCAGTCTGATCAATTGAAACTTGAGAAGGAAAAGCGGAAGATTTTTGAACAAATTACTAGAAGTACACTACCTGCTGCTGCATCTGACTTTGTCACAGCTCATGAACGAATGAATAAGACCTCAAAGAGGGATGACAAGAAACCTTTAGATTCAAGTGTAGATATAAGCAAAGCTTTATTAGCAGAGATGGCTGCTAGTGCGATGGCAGCGTCCACAGGGTCTTCTAAACGATCTAGAGAACAAGAAATGAAAGAAGCCTTAGAGCACCTTAGTAAAACGTCTGCAGAATTAATAGCTAGAAGTCTTGCTGCGGACGAACAGCAAAGGCCGCCAAGCGCGCATAAAAGACCTCGTGATACTCCTACCAAAGAACAAGAAATTACAAATGTTCCAGACGAATTACCTATAAAACGACTTCGTGAAACTACGATAGAAAAAGTGGCGCCCGCGTCGGACAGCCAATCAGCGGCGAATGCGGCCCCACAAAATACCAATGAAATGGACATTGAAGATTTGATAGCCCCTTCTACAGTAGTAAAAGGAGGATCTCTAGTTGTGGAAACCACCAATGTTGAAGACAAAATTAGCAATGCAGCTTCACCTGCTGCATCAATATCTCAAATAACATCGCCTGTGCCTGCTGCCAGCCAGTCTGGGGAATTGTCTGAGCAGTCACAAGTGAGGATAAAGACACCCACTCTGCTGATGCTCAGTCTGGTAATTCAGAGTCTGATAGTCCAGAATCTGCGGCGAAAAAAGCCAATAAGAAGCGTAACAAGAGGCCGAGATCGGGCGAATTGGAACCTGAAGTTATTGCACCAGAGCGTAAGAGGGAATTGCGATCTAGTGCAGGAAGGGCTGCGGCTGCTGCTGCCGCCAGAGCTGCAGCAGAAGCAGCTGCTGCCAAACAACAAATTACACAGATACCTGCAGAAACGGAGGAGATATGATGTGTTTCCACTCGTACTAGGAAATTGAGAAAGTGATCATAGCTTATTTAACAAAAATTAAAAAACTATGAGATTAAATAGTGTTGTGTTCTAAAATATAGACTAGATATAATAGGTGACCCAAAATATTATTATGAATGACTGTTCAGAATTTGAACTGCTACTGAATATTGTAATGTATTCCGGACGTTTCATAAATATGTTTTTGTGGTATTTGTGTTTTAACAAACTGTTATATTAATAACTTTTTTGTTTGTTGTGCATTCTGTGATAGCCGTTTCTGACATTAGAAAAGTTCAGGGACATCAACCCTTTTAACACGTTGATTAGGCAAGAAGAATGCCTTGACCTTGATGTATATATATACTAACTTATTTTATAAAATTTTCTATTTCTATTTTAGTTTGAACAAATTTTATTTCCAAGTATTATATGCTATAAAGTATTTTAAACAATTGTATAACTTTTGTAATTCGATTCTGTTATGACTCTTATATTTAGTACAAATTAATAAAATAAATTAATCCATTGTAATCCCTATTTCTATATATATAAATATAGATACTTATAATAAAAATGATAAGCAAATGTGAACTGTTTGTATATTTATTAAAATCGTCATTGAAATGCGAAGTAAATGGAGATAAGTTTCTAAAAATAGAAATAGAAAATTTAACTTTTGCTGAATAATATACAAAATTTTATTAATGCATGTTTCATATGATTTAAGCAAAGCTGCTTTTATTGCTGCTTACTGCCTAATTTAAAATATTTAAAACCCTTGTCGTTTTAGTTTGTACAATAAATGATTTTTTATAATTCTATATACATAAATGTATAAATGATAATTGATCAAAAACGCTTTTAACTTTATGAATATATAAAAATGTGGAAATTTAGGCTAATATATCTAACTAGAAGAAATTGTGGTAAACTTAATTGTATTTAAATATGCAAAATTGAACATATTGTTTAATAAAAATGTATCCAAATGAATGACTTTAAAATAACAGATTTATGCAGATTATTGGGCTCTCTGCAAGTTGGTGGTGATGAATTAATCATTCAAGACAAATGATGAATCAACACTTACGAGAAGTGATAATATGCTCTGCAAACAAAAGTTAATGAGGCTAATGAAGAACAATTGAGAGATAAAATTAAAATATAGTTTTATTTAAGATAAAATACATAAAAGATATGATATATATTGATGACCTTAACCCACAGAAATACTACATATATATAATTTTTTTTTTACATTTTCTCTTATTTTTTTTTTATATATGTTTTGTTAAGTAAATAAACATGCACAAGACGACTAAACTGATACTTCTACTAATAAGTGATAGCATATTCAGATATAATTCTAATATCTAGCATTTGGAAATGATAATCTATTCAATGTTATATATAAGATACAAATTATCATCGTGAGCCTTCGGTGGCATTAGCTTGTTGTTTGGTGCCAGCAGTTGGAACCCGAGGAACATGAATGTCCGCATGAGCTGCTGTCTGTCTGAACGATCGCGTCGCATGCACAACACCATCGAATGGCATCCCAGCTTCTCCTCGGTCAGTTCCAGGAGCGCCGTGAAACTTTCACGAGACCCCTCAGAAGGCAATACATTAGGAATATTTACATAGAGCACGTTCTCCTTCAAAACTGTCTCCCATAGGGTGCTGTTGCGCTTCGTGAGCCGTAGTTCGAATGTAATGCGTACTGGTTTGCCAAGGTGAAGTAACTCATCGACATCCGCGTTCTGGGAATAATCCGGCGAAGTATCAATAGAATCGTCTTCTGAATCGCTATCACTTATGCTGCTTTTGCGGGTGTGCCGCAGCTGGTCGTCGTCTTCATGGTAAGGTGGTGGGCTATGTCCTATCTCGTGGTGGAAATCATCAGGACCACCACAGAGGCCCGACACCCAGAGAGATACAGAAAGATTCGGCCTGGGTGCTGCTGACGGCGTTACGCTTACTACTAACTATAAACTTACTGTTTTTACTTAATGAATTCATTTTGGCGAATCAGTTTAAGGCTGCTTGTTACTTGCAATCGAACAATGAAATTGACAATACGTCACACGTTATCATATCAAGATGATAATGATTCGTATATCATAAAGTGTTGCCAGGTACTGTTTATAGACACCAGAAATTGCGCGCGACATTTGTAATCGATTCGAAACTCTCATCCCGTGACTTACTGCCAATAAATAGAAACTGGTGAATATAAATCTAATTAAATTGAATCAGACATCGATCATTAAAGAACTTAAATGTTATTGTGATGATAAAAAGATTTAAGAACAACTGGAACGCAAAACTGCAAGAATATGGCAGGAATATTTATTTATTTATTTATTTTAAATATATAGCCCACAGATTTCTTCCCAATACCAATTAAAATATATACAAAATTACAATATATAGTTATTAACATAAAATGCTTAACATAAAATTACATATAATGCAGAATGTAACAATATTATTTATAAACAGAATAAGATAAAATAATGAGATATTTGAAAAGAGAACAAAAAGGTTAACTTGTGCAGATGGAGATTATTTGATTAGATGAAGTGTTGTGAATATCTATTTCATTATTAATTAAGTTAAAGTTAGAGGACATAAGTAGAATAGGCGAATTTAAGAGAGAATTAGATTTAGGATTAGGATAATTGAAAAATAATTGTAACGCGTAGATAGCCTTGAAACATTAAAGGATAGTTGATTGAGAATAAGAGGAAAGTCTATAGAATTATTAATATATATATATATATATATATATATATATATATATATCGACGTGAGGCAAGGGAAGGATACCAAATTCTTTTAGTAAAGTGTTGTGATCAAAGTCACGTTCAGGGTAAATTTTATATGTTTTATAATAAAGATATTTCAGAAACTTTTGCTGAACCTTCTCTATCGCATCAGAGTTGTTGATTTGATGAGGATACCAAATAATCGAACCATATTCTAATTTTGAACGTACAATAGAATAGTACATGCAGAGAAGCGCATTGGTAGATTTAAATTGTTTACAATTTCTCAGTATCAAACCTAAAGATTTATGTGCTCGATTACAAATATCAGTTATATGATGCGTGAAAAACAAAACCAGAAAGAATCAAATAAAACTCCTAAATCTGAAATTTTATTACATCTATCAATGATGGTGTTAGAAATTTTATAATCAAAAAGTATTGGAACGCGCTTATGTGAAAAACTAAGAATCTTGCACTTTGATATATTTAAATGTAATTTGTTATAGACACACTAAGAGTGGAAAGAGTCAAGTTGAGACTGTTAATATTATATTTTCCGAGGCATGAATTATATTTGGTAAGCATAATTAAAAAAGTATGAATATGATATTATTTGGCCAGTTTTTTGTTCATAATCACGCCGTTATAAACGCCAAAAGCGTATTCATTGACAGTTAATAGTGTTGCCTGACAACAAATAATAGAACTTATCGATTGCGATTCAACTGTCCACCATGTTGTCAAATCTGTCAATATCAACTGTCAAGTGGCTTGTTTATGTTTGATATGCGAAAATCAAACTGCATGTTATGATTAATACAATAAAAGTGTGCACGTGTAATTTTGGTGCCCTTGCAAATCATATCAGTTAATCAAATATACAACCTTAAGGCACCATGTCAAAAATTTGTTTCCACTATTAGGTTATTAAACTACTTCTAGGTAGTTCATTATTCCTTGACAATATGCAATCGCATTTAGCGGCTGCGTTGCTTGGACCAACCCCTAATATTAGCACAATGACTTCTATCAGCTCCAATTCTACACCATGCTCCAGTCCATCCCCCAGGCCTGTATCATCCACACCCAGCCCCATAAGTATACCCAATACCAAACCTTCAACTAGTAACGTTTTTCAAAAATCACCTTCATTAAGCTCGCCTTCAAAAAGCTCATCCGCTAATGTAAAAAGCTCCTCATATGGTTTACATATTCAAAAGCCTGGTGCAGGGTACCAGAAATCTTCACACGGTGGAAGTGAAGACGGTCATGAAAGTGAGGAAATTGAAGACGAAGAGTCTGAAGATAAAATTAAAAATACATCCCAAAACAGCAGGACTGTTACGTTACAGATGTTATTAGCTGCAAACATACTTCAACCGGGTCAATCAACCATGACTATAGAATATTTGGTAATTTAAAAAACAAACTATGTACTACCTTATTAAAATGTTTTATTTCACTCATATTTTTTATCCAGGGTCAAAAGTTTGTTGGTGATTTACAAGCCGATGGCAAAATTAAGTCACAAGAAACAGAAACAATATTTTGTTCACCCAGTGCTTGGGCAATTCATTGCAAACGAATAATAAACCCTGATAAGAAGTCTGGTTGTGGATGGGCATCGGTTAAATATAAAGGACGTAAACTTGATGCATATAAAGCACAATGGTTAAGGAAATGCCAACAGCAATTGCAACAACAAAGAGATTCTACACCGAGTGAAGGTGGGCTTAACATATATGTCACATTTGAAATACAATTATAATTGTAATAACAAATTTCAGAAGATGTTGAGGATACCGTTCCAAAAATCATAGAGCCTGAAATACCTAGCAAAAGAGTTGTAGTTAAACACAATACAATTAACAACAGAATGGTGATACAGTAAGATAAAATAAAATCTGAAATCTGATTTAAATTGGATTATGTTGTAAATATATATATTATTTTTAGTGATGACAATACACTAGTAGAGTGTGTGTCTTTTCAAAGCATTGGAAAACTACAACCGTTTTTAATATCAATAAATTCAAACACACAGTTATTGATGGATTTTCATTGCCATCTAACGACAACAGAAGTTTGTGGTTATCTTGGAGGGACATGGGATGTTAATTCACATAGTACGTTGCATAAATTAATATATATATATATATATATATATATATATATAAATATATATATGTATATATATATATATATATGCATATTTCTTTTCCTCTTAGATTTAATTATAACACACGCCTACCCCTGTCTAAATTCCAAACATGATAGAGAAAATGCAACCAAGGTGGAACTTGAAATTCAGCAAAGAATGCGTAAAAAATAATCTGTTGCTGGTCGGATGGTATCACAGCCATCCTAAAACTGCTGCAATGCCCACATTGCGTGACTGCGATGCCCAATTGCAGTATCAGATTAAAATGAAAGGACCTAGTGACTCTACATACAGTCCCTGCGTTGGCATGATTTGCTGTAAGTAGAAAAAAACATTCTTAACACTCATTTTTAAACATTCTTAATATTTTGGACAAGTGAATCTTGAACATCCAGCTCATTAAATATTGTTCCTCGAACCTTTAAAAATTGTGTTTTGAGTTATGATTCATGATTTTACTAATTGAATACATTGTCATTTTGTTAAATATTTCAAATAAGATTCATTTATATAAAAGTATTTTTTCATAATACAATAGTCCAATAAAATTCGAAAATGGATTTTCCATTTTAAATTAATTTAGTATACATTTAATTTATTTTTAACCACAAAGTTAACCACGTTTACCAATTTTATTTCTAATAAGGTACTCAAACATCCATAAATTTCAAACATTCATATTTTCTTTATATATTTAATTTAATTTATAGTTTGTTTTCTAACTTCCTGAAGGAGAATTTATGTTTTTATCAAAAAATCCGATTTGCTAATTTTATGTTTTCTCGGCGTTTCAAAGCATTCCGAATCGAATGAGACCAAATTTGGAAAAAGTATGTGTCGGTGTGCATGTAAACAGATTTTTTGCCAAAAATCGACGTTCTCTCGAAAACGGCTAGACCGATTTATAAATTTAAAAGCCATTCGATGTATCTCGATGACGACTAGCGTTTATCGATTTTGCGCGACGATCAGCCAAGTCGTTTCTTTGTAAATAGCAGAAAAGTGCAAAAAATTGTCTGCGTTTTAGACTAATTTTATGATTCGATTTTAAAAGTTCGAAAGATATTGATCTTATTGTACATATTAAAATTTAATAGTCCAGCAAAAAGTGGTTCTTTTATAACAAATATTGAAAGTTTTGATCAATCGGCCGCGCTTTTAGAAATACTCTGTGTGTGTATTGTGCATGTGTTCGTTTTTAAAAAATGTGTTATAATTTTTTTTTACAAAATTTAATAATCTGCAATAGTTATAAGCTCTACACCAATTTGGTATACTTGTAAATTCACTCATAAATTAATATATTAATTTTTTACTGATTAAGTAGATTATTTAAACATACGGACGTCTTGGCAAAATACCACTTACAACTAGTTAAACCAATGGTTTTCAACCTTTTAGTACCGCGCCCCTCATTATTATAATTTAATTTCGTTTCATAAATAACTCAATTAATATTATAATTCAATTATTAGACTACATAATAAATAATTATTCATTAATTATTTTTTAACTTCGCGTAGGGTAAGTTGAATTAATCGCAAAAAAATCTAAAATGAAAATTTGTATATATCTTTACGCTTCAAAGGTTTCTGAATATTTTGGCATACCTTAGAAAAAATGGATGTGTGTGTGCGCTGATACAAATTTGCATCGACGATTTTGGGAACACGGATCAACCGATTTGAATGGTTCAAAAACCATTCGATTCCTATCGTTAAGGAGATGTGCTGATTAGTTTTTGGCAAAGACAGGTCCAGCCGTTAAGGAGACACGGAGCAAAGAGTGCAGAAAATAGTAATCGAGTTTTTGAGAGAACGGAGCGTCCGATTTGAATGTTTTATAAAACATTTTATTTCTTTTGACGAAATGAAAAACTAGTGAAATTTCTGAAGATAAATTTATGAGAATAGAATATTCTTTAAATTATTCAAATCGGTTGATCCGTGTTTGAGAAATCGTCGACGAAAAATTGTGTCCACACATACATACATAGGCATACACACACACACATATATATATACATCCATTTTTTCTAAGGTATGCCAAAATGTTCAGAAACCTTTGAAACGTAAAGGTATATAAAAATTTGTATTTTTGATTTTTTTGCGATTACTATAATTTACACTACGGGAAAATATAAAAAATGCCATTTGACGTATAAAAATGATCATTAGATATTTTAATAATAAGAACATATTTGTTTACATTTTTATGGTACTAATTTTATCCATTATCTTGCGACGCGGCGCTCACGCGCTTCTATATTTCGTCTCTACGTAGCTAAAGCAGCGCGATTGCTTTGAAAAAAAATTCAAAATTTCTAAAATTTTTTAAAGTTTAAAAAATTCTATTTTTTTAAAAAAAAGTCCATTTATCAAAAATCATAAAATCTCAAATATCTTATTTTTTCAAAGATCTAAAAAAAATTAATCTTTTTTAAAAAAAAAAATTCGTACGGGAAGTTTCAGCAATTTGTCTCAGGGGGAGGGGGTTTGACAATAAATCACGAAAAATCACGTGCGGGGAGGGAGGGGTTTAATAAAGTATCACGTGCATTTATTTTTTACCTAGATTTTCAAAAAACAAATATTTTACATTTTTCTCGTAAATTCAAAAAATTCGTTTAAAAATTTTTACGTAATTAAAATACACGTGGTAGAGGAGGGAGGGTAATTCTAAATATGACGATGTATCACCAAGTGGGAGTGTGGGTCCAAAAATTCCTGAAAAATTGGTCACGTGATTAATGGACGTCTCCTTATGGCACAATGCCATACACTACTAGTTTTATTTCATTTTAACATTTTTGGTTTATTTTCGAAAAAAGAGTATTTTGGCTTGAGTCTCGCGCCTTACAGGTTGGAAACCACGAGGTTAAGCATTTTTAAACCCTCGGACAAGTAGTTAGAGTTTGTTATTTCTTATTTCCAGCTCCTTATAATGTGGACAACCCATCACTCGAGAGTGATATCACTTGCTACTGGGTGACACCGCCTCCTGAAAATAGGCCTAACGAGTACAGTAGGCCTATGCAAATGCTGTACACAATTTCCAAGGACACTCATCTATCTCCCGAAACCATGGACGAAATGAAAATGTGTGTTAAGTATTACAACTCATTCAATTGTCTTGTTAATTTTTACGATCAATTTAACGAAGAACGGTTGAACATTGATAAACTGAAGTACTCATTGTATACAAAATTCTCAAAGGATCAAAGTAGCGAAACGTTGTGGAATTTTATAAAGGATATATTGGGTTATACGGGTAGTGATAGTTTTGATGTTGCTGCAAAAATAGATGCAAGTGAAAATACACCAGTTGTACCACCGGTGTTAAATTTACCGATAAGTGTTTCCTCGCAAATTAATATACCGTCGGGGTTGAGTGTAAGTGCTGTACCTACTACATCATCCAGTAGTAGTAGTAAATATGATTTAAATATACCGTCAGGCAAACTGCCTTTAGATACATCCATAAGTAGTTTGTTGTCATCAAATACGTTAGCAGCTAGTTTATCAAATATTTCAAATAAAATGCCTTTGAGTGCGTCAAATGCAAGTCTGCCATCAAACTTGTCGGTTAACAACTTGGCAGCAAGTCTTGCTGCGACAATGCCTTCGGCTTTAACAGGGAATTTACTTTTAAATTCACCAGACTTGGCTAATGTTTTGTTTCCAACAGGCAAGTTTCCTAATACAAGTTCTTTGTTGGGTTTACCCGACCCAATGTCTAAATCTACATTGGCTGCAAATAATATGTTTTTATCACCGTCTTTGTTGAAGATGCAGGATAGTTTTAATTTTTTGAAACCCCAAGGAAATTCCCACACATCCAGATCGGACTTCAAAACATCTCCTATTAAAGTCCCACACGATTTAAACATAACCAAATCATCTAAATACGACTATCAACCCCCAATGAGTGGTAAATACGATTACCACGCCCTAGATGCCCAGTTTAAAAAACCCAATATCGACTTCAAAGCTTCTGATTTATCAATTTCCAGTGTCAAAACACCTCCCATGAAAACCGACTACACCGATTACAATATTGGTGATAATTTATTAAATTTTAAAGCACCTCGAGCAGATGCTTTTAAACAACCCTTAGGTATGTCCTCGACAAAAAAGAAGTCCGATTTTTCCGTTGCCGAATTGGCGAGTACCCCGAGTAAAATCAGTAAAATGGATTTTCCTATGCTGGATTTGACTATGAGTTCGGGGGCTTCGATGAATTTAAAAACAAGCTATGTAGATAGTTTGGCTAATTTTAGTGATAACATTTTGAATAATTTAAGCTCTTCTGCACAAAATCGTGATATGATTTTAAATGCTAATTTGAACAGTGGTAGTACGGATGGATCTTCGTTAAATTTAAATACGAAAGATCGCATGTATTAAAGAAAAATATATATTTATATGATATATATATATATATATATATATATATATATATATATATTTGAGCGTATTTGAGCCCTTGGGTGCAAAGAAATACGAAAATTTCTATATTACAGACTGCACTTAAAAATTAAATTTAAAAAAAATATGTATATACCCCTAAGATTTTTTTTAAAAACATATTCTTGAAATGGTTATTTGCAACCGTAATAATGGAATTAACTATTATTTATTATGTAATAATAAATTAACTATTTATTATGTACGTTTCGACACTGTATGTGTGTCATCATTTGGCAAGAGCTAAATTTGATTTTAACAACATGTTGGCCTTTGTATAATTGTATCAGAAAAGAATAGTTTATCAATAAATAATTAACTATTTATTTTGTACATTTTGACACCAAATGTGTGCCATCATTTTGCAGAATGACACAATGATTTGATTTTAAAAAGAAAGATCATGCTGACCTCTGTATAATTGTATCAGGAAAGGCTAGTATATTAATAAATATTTTGACTATTTTTATATACGTTTCGACACCAAATGTGTGTCATCATTTGCCAGGAATTATTGCAGGAGCTAAATTTAATTTTAAAAAGAACGACCATTTTGGCTATCGTATCAGAAAAAGCTAGTTTATCAATAAATATTTTGACTATTATGTACGTTTCGACACCAAATGTGTGTCGTCATTTTGCAGGAGCTAAATTTTATATTAAAGAGAAAGACCATGCTGACTTTTATATGATTGTATCAGAAAAAAATCAAGGCTAGTTTATCAATAATTAATTTGACTATTTTTATGTACGTTTCGACACCAAATGTGTGTCATCATTTGCTAGGAATTATTGCAGGAGCTAAATTTAATTTTAAAAAGAACGACCATTTTGGCTATCGTATCAGAAAAAGCTAGTTTATCAATAAATATTTTGACTATTATGTACGTTTCGACACCAAATGTGTGTCATCATTTTGGAGAAGCTAAATTTGATATTAAAAAGAAAGACCATGCTGACCTTTGTATAATTGTATCAGAAAAAAGTCAAGGCTAGTTTAACAATAAATAATTTGACTATTTATTATGTACGTTTCGACAACAAATTTGTGTCATCATTTGATAAGGAATTATTGCCGGAGCTCAATTTGATTTTAAACAGATTGGCCTTTGTATGATTGTATCAGAAAAAATCAAGACTAGTTTATCAATAATTAATTTGACTATTTTTATGTACGTTTCGACACCAAATGTGTGTCATCATTTGCCAGAAATTATTGTAGGAGCTAAATTTGATTTTAACAGCATGTTGGCCTTTAATTTTAATTATTTATTTATTCATACGTTTTGACACTTGATGCGTGTCATCATTCAGTAAAGAAAACAATATTGAAAATAGAAAAAAAATATTCCATAACTTTTATTTTATGACAAAAATTGACAAAGAGTAACATCTTGAAAATTTTAAAGATGGCACACATCAAGTGTCGAAACGTATGAATAACTAAAGAATTTAGATTTGCATTGGCTGCAAATTATTTTAAATATATTTCAACATCAATCAATCGAATAACAAAATATTTTTGAAATGTTTATTTACATTCAAATAAATTATCTAAATAAAAAACAATAAATAATAACAATCTACCATGTACGTTTCGATATTGTATGTGTGTCATCATTTAGCAAAGATCTAAAAAAAAAAATCTAAAGTTTAGACTATTCAAAAAATTACTAAATATTATATTATAAATAATAAATAAAAATAATATTTTATTTTATTTCAAATTTTTAATAGCATTAATTTTTCTTGATTTTTTTCTGGTTTTGTTTGCATATACATTTTTATATAAAATTTATTAAAATATTTAGTAAATGATGACACACATACAATGTCGAAACGTACATAATAAAAGTTAAATTTGGTAAATTAAAATTAATAAAAAATAATTAATAGGCATGGACAATTTGTCAGAAAATAAACATTTTAGTAATATTTTATATATATATATATATATATATATACATACATATATGTGTGTGTGTGTTTCTGTGTTTGTGTGTGTGTTGATGATTTGAGAGTTCTTAAAGACAATATAGTGAAGTATTATATTTTAAATTTATATATTTTCGACTATATTATATATGGATATTATGAAAAGAAGGAATATAAATTTTTATATTCATGAAATTATTTATTATAAATTAAAAGAATTAATTTTTTGTACTTTGGGGTGAATGTTGATAAAAATAAAAACTCTGCTCTAATTTTATTACAATAATATATGTATATACGTGTGTGAAAGACTGTGTGCAAATATTTATAAAAAGTATTTTAAAATTAATTCGACAGCCTGATGATAAATTTTATTATAGTTAAAATTATTGGTATAATATGGAATTATTTTAATTTATTTAAAACCTAAATAACTAATATAAACAAAATTCTAATTGTACTGTACTACAACAGATTAGTACTTATATTATATAAAAAATTAGGTACTTAGATTTTTTATTTTCTATCGAGGTAACATTGATGAAGATTAGTAATAAATTAATTATACGGTAATGAGTGTATTGAAATTATTAAGATAATGATATAAACAAAATGTATATGTTACATGTTTGTTAGAATAAACGAATTTATGGTACTATAGGAAATAAGTCGTATATGTTTAATGTAAAATGTAAAATTATTAAGTTTGGTACACATATACTGCATTTTACTATAAGCAAGTATTTGGTATTTTTATATTTTCAAATTAATTCAGTCTATTTTTTAATCAATTCGAATCATTATTACAAATATAACTAATTTTTTAATTTCAATTTTTAACTACTACATATTTTAAAAATAGAAATAGCTTTCATACTGCTTAAGTGTGTTTAAGTATTTTATTATTATAGAAAAAGATCTGATATATTACATTTTAAAGTATGCCTGATTTATTTGGGCGATATTATATATATATTATTTTCACAATTATGTAAATTTAAGTTAGGTAAATTCAAAATTATTTATGTGATTTATGTACCTATCTGTGAAGGGTTTTACTACTAAATATATTTTAAATATTTGATATTTTTGTTTGATTTAAATTTCCTATTATTATATATAATTTATATTATATATATGAATTATATTTATTATTTTGTTCGTTTTTTTTTCGAATTTTCTGGCTTGTAGTAAAAAAATACCAAAGTTTTCCAACTTTTCAAATAAATATTTTTTTTGATAAATATTTACTATGCGTCAGAGAAATAATTTGGAAACGAGTAAAAAATTTATATGATTCATCTGTCCAAGATTAAGAAATTCTATTCAGGTGATTTTTTGTTAGAAAAACCTAGATCAAGATATAATCACCATCAAATGATGAAATATACACCAAATAAATTGCACAATATTTAGATAATTTATACGTTTTTGGAATTTTTAACAACGTATTTATAAATTAATATAATAATTAAAAATCTTAATTTAAATAAAATTAGTTAAAATGTGGAGATACTTGGATAGCATAAAATGAACAACTGTTAATGATTTAAATAAAATAAAAATTAATATTTAAATATATATGTATTTACTAAATAATTTTACAATTCTGATTAAATTCATCAATTTTTGATGAAATTTGCCAACACACTTTAGTACATTTTTTTTAAAGGAGGGTTTCTCAAAATGAACTGATTTTAAAATTTTTGAATTCATAGTTCAACTAAAAGTCTTAAATCTTGAAAACTCGAGGTAGTTTCAACATTACCTTTGATTTTTAAGTCTTAGAAATGTTATTCACGATTACGATGAACAAAATTAATAAAAATTACCCACAATAACCTAAAAATCATCACAATTCCATTACGGTTCTAGGTTGAAGGTAATAATTTCAATATAACGCGAGATAATTTTTTCAGGACATTTACAGTCAACACTATCTTCTCGTTTTGGCGTGACGTTGAGTTCTGGGACACCCAGAATAAGTATGAATATAAAACGCCAGTATAAATATAAAACAAAAATAATTGCTTAAGTTTTTAGGCATATCGAATAAAAATAATTGACGTTGAGTTTTGGGACATCCTGTATAATGGATAGTATAAAAATAAAATAAAAATAATTGGCTTGACCTTAAATTTTGGGACATACAAAATAAAAATAATTGGCTTAACGTTGAGTTCTGGGACACTGTATAAGTATAGTAAAAATATAAAATAAAATTAATTGGTTTTACCTCAAGTTGTGGAACATACGAAATAATTATTATTGGATTGACGTTGAATTCTGAAACATCCTAAACAATGGACAGTATAAATATGAAATAAAAATTATTAGCTTGACGTTGAGTTCTGGGACATCCTGTATAATGATAGTATAAATATGAAATGAAAATAATTGACTTGACCTTAAATTCTGGGATATGTGAAATAAAAATCATTGTCGTTGAGTTCTGGGGCATCCTGTATAATGATAGTGTGAATATAAAATAAAAATAAAAATTTACCTTAAGTTCTTGGACATATAAAATAAAAATAATTGGCTTGACGTTGAGTTTTGGGACATTTACGGTCAATACTATCGCGTTGAATGCCGTTGAATTCTGGGACACCCTGTATAAGGATCGTATAAATATAAAAAGAAAATAATTGGCTTGACCTTAAGTTGTGGAACCTATGAAATAAAAATAATTGGTTTAACGTTGAGTTCAGGGAAATCCTGTATAATGATTTAATAAATATAAAATAAAAATAATTGGCTTGGCCCAGACGTTGAGTTCTGGGACACCCTGTATAAGGTTAGAATAAAATTCACTGTTATATAAAATAAAAATAATTTGTATTTTTGGAATCTTTAACAACTTATTTATAAATTAATATAATTATTAAAAAAATCTTAATTTAAATAAAATGCGTTGAGTTCTGGGACATTTTGCATAATGATTTTATAAATATAAAATAAAAATAATTGGCTTGGCTCAGACGTTAAGTTCTGGGACACCCTTTATAAGGATAGGATTAAATTCACTGTTATACAAAATAAAAATAATTGGCTTTATTTCAAGTTCTGGAACATACAAAATAATTATTATTGGATTGACGTTGAGTTCTGCGACATCCTCTATAATGATAGTATAAATATGAAATAAAATATTTTGTCTTGATGTTGAGTTCTGGGACATATGAAATAAAAATAATTGGCTTGACGTTGAGATCTGGGATACCCTGCATAATGATAGTATAAATATGAAATAAAAATTATTGGTTTGACGTTGATTTCTGGGACATTTTGTATATATTTTTTTAAAATTTCAATACATGTTACAACTACTAAATAATATAACATCTAGTAACATAAGTGAATATTAACATAAATATAAATAAAATAGAGTAAAAAATAAAGGATAAAAGCAAATAATGATAATAACAAAATTAATAAATCAAATGAATAAAATTTATACGTTGAGTTCGGGGACATCCTGCATAATGGTAATATAAATATGAAATAAAAATAATGGACTTGATGTTGACGTTGAGTTCTGGGACACCCTGTATAAAAATAATTGTTGTAGGTGGCTGAATGTTCTAAGCTAACAAGACCAATAATAAAAAAATAAAAAAGTGATTTACATATACTTTTCTCTAATGATTCCTCTAATTCTAATCTGTCGACAGAAGCAAATCGCTTCGTATTGACACATCACACGTCCGGCAGTCGTCAGTCAGTGTTTGTTTATTTCCCAGCCTATTGCCTTTACCCGTTGCCATCGGTGGCTACCAACCTTCCATCGAGCCAGATCTTACTTTAACGCTCGCGCTGAGTTTGTCTCTGTACCTTTCTCTTTCCGCCGGTTCTGTAACTCCGACGCCCGAACAGGACGGAAACCTCGGTTACGGTACCGGCCGTCACAATTCGAAAAGTGAATAAAGTAATCCTCGCGCCTCAGTTGAACTTTCGCTTCGACGTCGAACGGACGACGGAAGGCCGGTAAATTAATGGTTACATCGATCCAAAATTTAACGAATTTATTTTACGATTCGATTTTAATTATGTAATTACCAGTGTTGGATGGTTTTGGTCTATTGTGTGTTTCAAAAGTGTGTGATAAGGACGAAAATGCGTTACAAAAAGTAAACAGTGAATTTGGATTTGGTTTAGAGACAATTGTTTTGTGATTTTATTTTAGTGTTTAGTGAGGGTGATTGTAGGAATTTATTTGTGTGCACAAGGATATTGCTGTAAAAAGGTAAGATTTTATAAAAAAATTATTTGTATATATATATATATATATATATATATATATATGTATATATGTATATATATATTAAATGGTAGAGTCTTGGATTTGTAAATATTTTATAAAGTTTCGAACAAGAATCCAAAAAGTAATAAAAAACAAAAAAAGTTTTTTAAATAAACAATTTTTTTATTTATTTATTTACTGTCGACGTTTCGGAACTAGGAACGTTCCATCTTCAGGACATCTGTCAAGAAACATGATCTTGATAAGATTTAAGCAAACAATATGTTTAAGAAAAGAATATGGATTTTTCAAATTAATAAAATAGTTGAAAAAATAATGTCATTAATGTAATACATTAATTTTTCAACTATTTTATTAAATAAAAAAAAAAGAGTGCGCGTAAGGATCACACGCGATTGAAGTAAAACTTTTAATATTGTATGAGTAGGCAATTAAGATAAAAATAAAAAAAACATCATATTTGAATTTTAAAAATCATCTTTTAATAATCATATAACATCAATAATAATAAGATCTCCTGAGCATCGGCACAGCTGTCCTACTGATATCAAGAGTTTGAATATGATGTGAAGCTTTCTTCCTAATTTTGTTACCTATCTTACCGGGAAATTCAAACCATAAACGTAGAAGTTCATCATTATCGCCACGTTCTATGTACACTAATTTTCCTACACAACCATTAGCTAAGCCATCACTCACATCAATATTACTTGTTATTATGTAAAATTTATTCAGAACTAAAATTATTTCATACGACAAAGCCCCGGTATCAATAACCGATTTTTGTGAAACTGCTGACGAATGTATGATTGTTGATCTGTCGCATGGCAACCTACATAAATATCCGTGGCAGTAGATATTATTTTGTCTTCAACGAGATTCAATATAAATTTATTATATTCCATGGCACATTTATTCTCTAAGAAAAGTCTTATTCCATGAGGACATAATACAGCAACCTCTTCTTTTGTAAAAAAACGTGATTCAATTAATGCAAGTTCATATAGGGTTTAGTGCTCGACTTACGCATGACATGATGGGAGTGGATACTCGCGACATCAGCGCTTACGGCGTCGTAGTGTTCAACTACACGTTGGCATTTTCGTTGCATTTGTACGGATTTACACCCGTGTCGCGCCTAAAAATTTTTACACCCATATCGCGCCTAAAGAAGTTTTACTTCAAAAAATCCATTTTCATTTCTTAAACATATTGTTTGCTTAAATTTTTAATTAAGACATTGAGTTTTTGACAACATTGAAATTTGACAACATAGAATTTTAAAAGGAAAACCCAGTAGTTTACCTTTTATTAATGTACTAAATTATGTCTTAATTAAATTTTGTTAATAAGAATAAACATTTATATTAAAAAAATATATCAAAAGTAGATAGTAGAATTTTTGGATGGTCTTATAACTATATAAAAAATAAAAATATCAAGATTTATTAAAAATATTTCTTGTTTTTATACTTAACATTACTATACCAATCCAGTACTAACTTTATATAATTTATTGACTTCTGTTATCAATGAATTAATATTTTTCGATTCATGCTGAAAAATTATGACAAAATAAAAATAGACACACAATGGAATATTTCTGAGGGTTCTGTGAAAATTAAAAAAAAAATGTTCAATTTCAACTCATTATTAAACTCATTAATAAACAAATTTTAAATAGAAAATTTAATATGAATGACATTAAGAAAGTTTGGAAAGTTATATAAATTAAAATTTTAGTTACTGGGTGTTTCTTATAATTTGCATATTATTCATCAAGTTAATTTGCAGAATTTTTTCAATGACATTTCATAATAGTTCATTTAGATATGATTCATTTATGTGACCTTTTTATGAAATAATCTGAGAAATCCCGTTCGGCATATTACCTTACCCCGAGAGAGAAGTGAATGTCTTTCGTGACGCATATTATTCATACGTAGGTACTATAAGATATTATTACAAATGTCTTAGAATAAAATATAAAAGTTAACATTAATAAATATTCATAAGAATTTTAAAGGAACTAAATGGAAAGGATTCAAATTAAACAATTATTTTTGTCTTCATTATATTCGACAACTAACAATGAGACGATCAGTTTTGTATTACGTATTGAAAATGACCAAAAACACTTTCATTGTAGTATTTATTTAAAAAATCTACTCAAATTTGTTTATTCAACAAATCCATTACATGTTGTTTAGAATTTCACTGCCGGCGTTGTAATCATATGCTTCCGCATATAAGAAAATAATTACTAGGATTATCTTTCATCTAATTTGATGTAAGATTATTTATGTAATAAATTTTAATTCAGGCTAAACAGATGATGTGTAGAAAAGAAAGTTTTGTTTGAACAATATGGTTTAAAATGCCCTGCGAGGAAATAAATACTTTGGTAAAACGTAATGGTTCAAAAGTTACAAAATGCGTTTTTTATTTAATTAGTAATAGTTCTTAGAATTATTATTGAGCAATAATTATCTTACAGGGATAGTTTTTTAAGTAAATTTTTTGATTAGGCTATTTTTTTAATATGAATTTATTTGGATTTCTGTTTACAAATTAACAATTGAAAAAAAACTCGTAACTACTTAATTTAAAATGAAACAAATATATAAACTAGTAACTAATTTCTTCTAAAAATGATATTTACATTTTTTTTAATAAATTAAGCAGGTAAGGATGTATCAGGATTCTCAGTTTTTAATTTATATATCGCAAATAACAATTTGGATTTTTGAAATGAATATTTGTTGCATTTTAATATCAGACGTTGATTATTAACGTGAAAAATTATATTTTTACATTTATAAATACTAGGCCTGTAATTAGAAACTGAATTTGTAAATTCCTTGATATATAATTTTAATTTATATGATAGTATTTGAGATATTTTTTAAATAGTTGTATTTCTAAATATATTTTTAATTTTGTATAGTAGTTTAGAATAAAGTGTACAAATTTCTAGATCAACAATTAATAATTAAAACTTTCTTCATTCATCCATAAAAGCTTTGATTTTATTCTGTTCTGAACTAGAAAACACATTAATCTTTTATATAAATCAATAGTAACGGAAATTAAACCCATATCTGAACGTGTTTGCATATTTTTTATTGAGAGAAACTAAATAACTTTATTTATTTATTCTGTATTACATGTTAGCGGATATAGAAAAACAGTCTTAGACAGATTATAGACAAATTGCTGTTTTAGAAAATGATATAAATATCTATTTTTTAAATGTTAGAAACAGTAGTTTGTTAGTTCAACTTTTTTTAATATACATTGTTATTCATCAAATGATTTTTCTATTATTTGAAGGTTAAGAATGTGAGCTAACTCAAACTAATTCCAGGTTCGATCCACTAGTTCCCACCTTGACCAGCTCGATATCAAGCAGTATGATATAATTTTTTTTCTGTCATATGTCTATTACAGTTTGTCAATTATTTGTATTTCTTTTTCAAGACCTACTTATATAATTACCGGAAAAATAGCGTAACTCGCCTCGGATATCTGATTAAACTTTCTCGTCTATCCGAACCAGAACATTTTAGAGTTAATGGTGTAATCTTGAAATTTCTCTGTAACAAAAATTATCTAAATTTGCTTGAAGAAAAAAAACGATAATTTAGATCAAAGTTGTTGACATATATTCAAATATTTGTATACGAGTGTTTGGAGAATGCGTTCTGGTCTAAAAATCGTTGTTGATATAAATTTTAATTGTAAAAAATCTTGTGTAAAGATTTTTATATCTGGGAATAAATTATATGGACATAGAAACTAGATTATTATAATGAAATTAAAAAAAAAACAAAATAAATTTTTATTTTAAAAATAATATGAAAGACTATACTAATTAGGATATAATTTAGCACATTAATAAAAGGTGAATCAGTGGGTTTTCCTTTTAAAATTCTATGCTATTTGTCAAACTAATTGTAATTTATAAGAAAATAAAAAACATATATGAAAGACACACATATACATTCAGCACAGTCATTCACTTATCATGTTTTTAATTACTATTTAAATTATTTTTATTTATATATTTAAGTTGCGGAATTCTTAGCTTTTTCCTATATATATATATATATATATATATATAAATATATTTATAAATATAAATATATATATATATAATTATATTTTATATCTGGCCCAATTTTTGAAATAATAATTATATACCCATCAAACGAAATCCGTCTAATCTTAGTAATATAATATGACTATTTGCGAGTTATTATAATCAGATTATAGTTATTAAAATAATGAAAAAAAACTTTCAAATTTAAAGAATGAAGTCGTTAAGATTTTATATGACCGGTACATATATAATTTCTAAATATCAGATGAGCTATCTAAAGATGATGTCTTCATTCAGAAGAAAGTTGTAATTATCAGAAATTGTAATAATAGATAACAAAATAGTTGTTAGAAATTTTTTTTTGGTGATTAATGTAATTAGGATGAAGTATATAGATATACGTAAATATAAATATTCATGGATTTTATGCTTTGTTTTGTTTTATTTGATAAAAAGCATAAAGTTAATATACAATCCAACAAAAATAAAAAAATAAGATTTTTATTAAAGACTTTATGAACTAAAGTACATTTATCATCATTTTTTTTTAAAAAAAATTATATATCTATAACATATTACCATGATTAACTCAGTTAAGTGAAGTGAAACTTTTAAATTTTAAAAATCTGCAATAGTAAATTACTATCTAACTGAAAAAGGGTGCTTTACCCTGATATTTATGAGTAATTTGACAAAAACCAAAAAAATGTCCCGAATTTTCTATTAAATGCTAAAGAAAATGAAAGGTCGAATTCAAAGTCATTAAAATATGTATTGAAAAGCCAATTTCATAACGGTGCTTCAGGTACTATTAAGGCGCCTAGTTGCCTTAGTCGTACCACCTACAACCAGGCTGATGAATATTAAAATAACATTAAAA